TAAAATTATCGAAGCTCACATTTGAGCATGTAATACATTTTAAAGTTTAGGGTTCTCATATCTTACGTGGCATCGTCAAGTTTTTGAAAGTAATCCTTGCTTCGTCAATATTTAAATCGGGCCATCCTTCTAAATGTTCCATTATTGCATATGAATAGAAACCAGAACTTCCGCGCAACATTATATACCTGCAAAAAAAGATTTATTAGTTAGGCGGACTCTATCAAGTTGTTGAATATGCTTTCCATATTAATAAACTAAATTCCACCTTATATCGACATTCAAGGGGTAAAAGGAACTATCAGAGGAATTCCATGTTCTCATGAATGAAATTTCGATCATATCTTCTGTTTCTGCTATAACTTTAAAACTTGTCCCTTCGAGCCTGCATAATTTAACGGAGTTAATTAGTATCTTTCTATTACTTAAATAAGTATTCTTGAATGTGAAAGTAATGGACTTGATTTCCGAAATTCTAAGGAGAACCAAATTTTTGAACTTACTCGCAGAAAAAACTTTTGCGCTCTGGTGGCCTGCTCCATACAATGTCCCAATACCTAAATGTGCAAATCCATGTAAGGTAGGAGTTACTATTAGACTTAAAAGGGAATTGTATAAATTGTTAGGTAATTTCATGGAGAATGTGTGGTGATGAATATTTTCTTTTCAAGAACTTATTTTACAACTTTATTCGAAGTATTTTGATTCAAAGCAACTCACCCTCGTCTATTTTCTTTTAGATGATATTTGAGGACATTCTTTTCTCCTTTGTATTGTATTTCCCCGATCAAACCACTTGGAGATAATAGTGTGAGTTTAACAATGCCATTGTCCAACATCACCTGCAAAAATAAATCTAATCAATTTGGATATACATAGTTGACATATCTGTTTTATTGGGGGTAATGTAATTGCATTACAAATTTGTATGCCAATGTTTTCTTCTTCAATCTTTTTCCTCTCAAGAACCGTATAAAGTAGTTTATTGAATTAAAAAGACAAACATAAAAAGTGTATTTTGAACGTTTTATTGGACACACTATAGATTATTGTATAATATAATTGACAATAAAGTTTAACTTCTTTTTGTTCCCCATTGTCTAGTAATGTCTATTTTGACATCCAAATACGTAAAAAGTATTCAATATCAGAAAAAGTATCGTGTTTCACATATTGCATGCAGGTAGCATCTTCATTTTTGATTTTCGTTAGTGGCTGACATTATTGTTGTTTATGGCATGCAGTTATGTGGGATGTTAAGAGATTTGTTGTCTCGTATGGTGAGAGATTCGTCAACATGAACGACATGTGGAAGTGGTTAGGGAACCGAACAACATCAATTGTTGTTCGACATGATATTACATATGAAGAGCTTGTACAAAAATATTCGAGAAACTGAATGAAGTTCTAAATTTAATTGAAATTTACAGTTCCAAACATGAATATACCCACTGCTAATATAGCCGATGATAAGGATTTGCAATGGTTTATGTCTGTTCACACAGAAGCGGCGTTGTGTGTATTGCAAATGAATATATTGTTGGAGATCATGAACTGCATGTCGGAGTTGAGCCTTTCTCACCAATAAAAGCATTGTGTGGACGCGACGAAGTCGGTATATGCGAACTACAAGAGCCACGAACGATTGATAATACGGATGAAGGTTTAGGTGAAAGAAATTTGTTTATTTGAAATGCAATTCAGTTGATTGATGAAGAGGACATTGTGGAGAATCAGATATTCTTTAGCAAGCAACGGTTACACACAAGGCTTCAACTTAAGACTTTAAAAAAAAAGTTTCATTTCAAGATTAAAAAGTTAAATCCTATATCTCTTACTATGTGTTGTGTCGATACTACATGCATTTGCTAGTGTGAGCTTCTAAGATATAAACCTCAGAAATATTCAAGATTCGAGAGTACATACTTGAGCACACATGTTCTCTAGACGTTCGACGAAATGCACAAATTCACGCAACAAGTGTAGTAATTGGGCATCACATAATGTGAAGGTTGGACAATGCAAACCAATCATACGTTCTTGTGGGTATTATTGGGGATATGGAATGTGAGTTTGGTGTACAGATTACCTACAACAAAGTGTGGAGGGCTAAATAGAAGGGACTTCGATTTCTTCGTGGTACACCCGAAGAAAGTTTTCAGAAATTGCCATCATATTGTCACATGTTAACCGAGAAAAATCCTGGAACTATTGCACACAATGAACTTAACTTGAATAACAGGTTCTGGTACTTCTTCTTAGCGTTCGAGCTGAGTGTACGTGGTTTTCGAGAGTACATGAGGCCAGTAATTTGTGTTGATCGAAATCATTTGAAGGGCCAATATAAGGGAACACTATTAGTAGCTGCAGCGCAAGATGCTAAGCTACAAATATATCCTCTTACTTGGG